TGCACTTATATACTGAGTCACCTTAGAACCGTGCACTTTTAAAACTGTCGCACTTTAGCCCTATTGCGCCACTCTATAGCACTTTAGCTTACCAAGCATCTAAGCATTAAGCATTTAACACCTTAAAACGTTAACATCTGCACCTTATTGCCTGCATCCCATTACCTGCTACACTTGAACACCCATGTCGCCCCTCAAATTATGGTATTTGCTGATAATATTGCTGGCAATTGGGGAAGGGGAAAGAGGGGGGAGTGGGTGGGGAGATCTTAGTAACAGCATTGCAGGATCAAGGAACAATTGGAATGGATTAGATCAGCAGAAGGGGAAGATAACAAAGGAAACAACCTGGAGGAAAGCATGGGATGAGTTTACAATCTTGAAGTGCAATATGGATGGAGAGGAGCATTCCATTGACCGGGGGGCCCCCATAGAAGTTCTGACGGGGAGGGGGAGATGCGGGAAAGGGAGACCGTTAATTCGGCGACCAATTCGGCCATTAATTCGGCTCAAAAACAGTAAGGAATCAACGATTCAAATTCGGCCTAGGAGGAGGAAAAGGAATCAAAATAATTTAATAAAATGTAATTGGTCTCCTGACAAGGTAAATGGGTGTAACCAGGCCAGCGGTCCCTCCGGGTTAAAGATGGTGCTGTTGAACGCCAGATCTGTCAACGGCAAAACATCTTTCATCCAGGATCTAATCCTGGACGAACGGGCAGATCTGGCGTGCATTACGGAGACCTGGTTGGACGAAGCTGGAGGAGTTAATTTAACCCAGCTTTGCCCGCCAGGGTTCTCCGTACAGCACCAATCGAGACCTGGAGGGCGGGGAGGCGGAGTAGCAGTGGTCTATAAAAATTCAATCCCTCTGACCAGAGGCCCCATCCTACAGTCGACAAATTTTGAATGTGTCCACCTGAGGGTGGGAGACCGGGACAGAATAGGGATTCTGTTAGTGTACCGCCCACCTTGCTGCACTACAGTCTCCCTACCTGAGCTAGCGGGGGTGGTCTCGAGCCTGTCATTGGAGTCCCAACGCCTTGTTGTGCTGGGGGACTTCAATGTACACGCCGAGACTGCCTTAGGGGGAGCGGCTCAGGACTTCATGTCTTCCATGGCAACCATGGGGCTGTCCCAACAAATAACTGGCCCCACCCACAGCGCTGGGCACACATTGGATTTGGTCTTCTGTCAAGGATGGGAGCAGGGTGGCGGGGTTGAGGAGTTATCCATCTCTCCGTTGCCATGGACCGACCACCATCTGGTCAGCTTTAGACTTACTGCACCTCTTAACCTCTGCAGAGGTGGGGGACCCATTAAGTTGGTCCGCCCCAGGAGGCTTATGGATCCGAATGGATTCCTGACGGCTCTTGGGGAATTTCCCGCCGCCTCGGTTGGTGATCCTGTCGATGCCCTGGTCGCTCTCTGGAATGGGGAGATGACTAGGGCAATAGACACGATCGCTCCAGAACGTCCCCTCTCAAGTAGCCGAGCTAAACCAGCTCCTTGGTTCACCGAGGAGCTGGCAGCAATGAAGCGAAAAAAGAGGAGACTAGAGCGTGTGTGGCGTTCGGACCCGAGCGAGTCAAACCGAGCACGGTTTGTTGCCCTATTAAGGGCATATGCCGTGGCAATAAAGGCGGCAAAGAAATCTTTCTTTGCGGCCAATATTGCGTCCGCAAAGAACCGTCCGGCCGAGCTGTTCCGAGTTGTCAGAGGCCTGTTGAAGCCCACCACTTTGGATGGGAGCCCTGACAACTCGACAGCCCGCTGTGAAGCATTTGCTCGGTTCTTCGCGGACAAAGTCGCTTCGATCCGTTCAGGTCTGGATACCATGTTAACGGCAGTCTCTGAGGATGTGACGAGAACATCTGTCTGTCCGGTTTTGATGGATTCGTTTCAATTTGTGAAACCTGAGGATGTGGACGAGGTGCTTGGAGGGATGAGAGCAACCACATGCATCCTAGACCCCTGCCCATCCTGGCTTCTTAAGGAGGCCAGAGGGGGATTGGCCGAGTGGGTGAAGGTGGTGGTTAATGCCTCCCTTCGGGAAGGCAAAATTCCAGCCAGCTTAAAGCAAGCTGTTATAAAACCGCTGTTGAAGAAACCATCACTGGACCCCACTCAATTCGTCAACTATCGGCCTGTTTCCAATCTCCCCTTTTTGGGCAAAGTCATGGAACGTGTGGTGGCCTCACAACTCCAGGCATTCTTGGTAGACACGGATTATCTGGATCCGGCACAGTCTGGCTTTAGGCCGGGGCATGGTACCGAGACAGCCTTGGTCGCCTTAGTGGATGATCTCCGGCGTGAACTTGACAGGGGGAGTGTGTCCCTGTTGGTTCTGCTGGACCTCTCAGAGGCCTTCGATACCGTCGACCACGGTATCCTTCTGGGACGCCTTGCGGGAATGGGCCTGGGAGGCACTGTTTTACAGTGGCTCAGGTCCTTCCTAGAGGATCGTACCCAGAAGGTGTTGTTGGGGGACACCTGCTCGTCCTCACAACCATTGATTTGTGGGGTCCCGCAGGGTTCAATTCTGTCCCCCATGCTGTTTAACATCTACATGAAGCCGTTGGGAGAGATCATCCGGAGTTCTTGGAGTTCGATGTCATCTGTACGCAGATGACGTCCATCTCTATCCTTTCCACCTGCTGCTAAGGAGGCTGTCAGGTCCTGAACCGGTGCTTGGCCGCTGTGTCGGACTGGATGAGGGCTAACAAATTGAAATTGAATCCAGACAAGACAGAGGCACTCCTGGTCAGTCAAAAGGCCGAACAGGGTACAGGGTTACAGCCTGTGTTAGACGGGGTCACACTCCCCCTGAAGACGCAGGTTCGCAGCTTGGGTGTGACTCTTGATTCTTCGCTAAGCTTGGAACCCCAAGTCTCGGCGGTTTCCAGAGGAGCATTTGCACAGCTTCGGCTCGTGCGCCAGCTGCGCCCGTATCTTGGGAGGTCGGACTTGGCTACGGTAGTCCACGCTCTTGTCACATCCCGTATAGACTACTGCAACGCGCTCTACGTGGGGTTGCCCTTGAAGACTGCCCGGAAGCTTCAGATGGTCCAGCGCTCGGCAGCCAGGTTGCTAACGGGAGCGGCTCTCAGGGAGCACACCACCCCCCTGCTGAACCAGCTCCACTGGCTGCCAATTCGCTACCGGGCACAATTTAAGGTGCTGGCTTTAGCCTATAAAGCCCTACACGGTTCCGGCCCCACTTACCTCTCCGAACGCATCTCCTCCTACGAACCGGGAAGAGCGTTAAGATCTTCCGGGGAGGCCCTGCTCTCGGTTCCGCCGGCGTCACAAGTGCGGCTGGCGGGCACGAGAGACAGGGCCTTCTCGGTGGTGGCCCCTCGGCTATGGAATGCGTTACCGGTGGACATCAGGCAGGCCCCTTCGTTACTGGTGTTTCGGAGGAGGGTGAAGACGTGGCTCTACGAGCAGGCTTTCGGCAACTAACTCAATAATGACGGCATCGGACAAGGAATGGAAAAAGGATCTTGAGATCGGAATCTGATTCTAAGTGTGGCGTTGATGATTATGTGTTTGTCTGTATTGTGTGTCTCATACATTGTTTAGTGTTGCTTTTTATTGTAAACCGCATTGAGTCGCCGCCTCAGGCTGATATATGCGGTATACAAATAGAGTAAATAAATAAATAATAAATAAATAGTTTAGCATTCACCCATTTCTGCCAGCCTCTTCAAAGAAAATGTGCCTTGAATTAATGTGGTCATTATCTTCTTTGTGAGTAAGATACTGCCTCAAAGGAAATTACAAAAGAATGTCCCTTTTCTTAGAATGACTGTTAGTTTTTATTGAAACCATATTGATGAGAGGAACAAAAGGAGTAACATCCTGTATAGTACAGTAATTAGACCATTTAAAATTAATTATTTACAATTTTAAAATCAAGCTTCAGATCCAATTCATCACTCATCCATTCAAGAAGGATATGTGTGGGTTTTTTTTTCCAACCCACGCACATTTTGCTATGTGCAGGAAATATTTGTATCTACAAACTACCTTGAATTGTACTTATTGGCAATATTATTTAGTAAACAAAAGGTAAAAAGACCCAACTGGTATAAGCAAAGAATCTTTTTTGGATAGAGAGCTGGCATTATTCAAACATTATGACCATTCATGAATTCTTACACTTTTTTTCTCAGCAGGTCTCCTGTTGAAAATCAGTTCCATTACTTTGATAAAGATCTTGATTTTAGTAGCAAACATGTGCAATGTCTTGAAGAAAGAAACTATGTTTTATTATGGAAACTTTAAGATAGGATATGAACAAAGTGTGCTGATCTGAACTAGCTACATCTTTGGAGGTCAAAGATGCTTCCCCCATCACACTGGGGAAGTGATGCCCGAGCAGCAAGGATCCATGCTGGCTCCATTGGAGCTAGTCAACGCGGGCAGATTTCCATGTTGGGAGGGAAGCATTGTATGATGCTTTGATATCTTGTGTTTGCCCTATTGTATTATTTTGTTATTGTTCACATTTGATTTGTTGTTATTATCTGTTGCATGTATTTTACTTTGCTTTATTGTAATGCTTGGGCTTGACCTCATGTTAGCCACCCCGAGTCCCTTTGGGGAGATGGTGACGGGGCATAAAGAAAGTTTCATCATCATCATCATCATCATCATCATCATCATCATCATCATCATATCATTGTGTGTTGTGAAACCAGCCTGAGCTCCCCTCCAGGGGTGAGAAGGACAGGATAAAAGTGTGTGAAACAAACAAACAAACAAACAACAGTTGGATCAGGATAAGTGGACACAACAGGAAGACACTTTGGATCACTCAAACTATCTAACCAAGTGGTTCCCAAACAGTGGTCCACAAGGAACAGAAAAGTGGTCTGTGGGGGTCTTTCACTCTAGCTCAAAGTGCTTCTCTCCCTCTGGCCCACTCAAAGGAAGATGAGAACATACACATGCTCATTTCCCATCCCTTGCATCCTCACAAGGAGCCAGTGATGATGGAGCTATCCCTGGCCTCTGCCTTCAATGACCTGAATGTTTTGGCAATCTCCTCCTCCTTGCAATCCAGCCTGCGAATGGCACTTCCTTCCTTATTTCAAGAGCAGGTAAGGAATGAAGGATAAAATCACCTTCCCTTTGCTCTATGTTTGGTCCTACTTGAAATACATTAGTTTGCTTTTTATCTATTATATAGATCGCTTTATCTGGAATGTTAATATAAGTGTAAAATAAAGAGGATACATGTTTACACTGAACATTTATTCAGATGTTGAAACCTCAGAATAGTCTAGACATAAACATGTTTACTTAAAAGTGATTCCTATTGTTTTTTATTAAGATCTTAAAGGAACTGATTGCAAAGATAATAATTATAGAGGAATAGGTAAAGAAAAGCATATGATTTGATACATGAAAGAATTCACAAACAAATAAGACACTCCGGCAAATCATCATTCTTTTACCTATGCTGAGCACTATAGCCAGTACTTCAAATCTTTAGTATTTCACTATCCAACATTTAGCAACATAAAAAGTACAAGAAAGAAGAGAAAAACAAAGTGTGCTCCCTTGCCATAATACCATAACAGCTGTAATGCTCATTTATAGACTTGGCCCATAGCAGGTGACATTTACTGTAAGACAGCTTTCCAAATACCACTGTGATGGCCAACTTTTCCCTGTTTCCTTTGCAACCAGCTCAATCCTTTATGACCCAATTTTTATATAAGCAGCTGATTGTTAAACCATCTTCTTGGTAGTGGTATGCTGGAGAATGTCAACTCAGTGTGAGGTATGAAGTATATATGTGTGTGTATATCCAAACATATGAACTGGTGTATGACATTTTTGAATGCTTTTCACTTTACAGTTAATCACACTTCCTTTGGGTGTCCAACCATCCAAATGGCAACCTGGTAGATATACTAAGAATCCTATATTCTTGGACTCAGTTGTTTGATGTGAGTATGTGTAGATATGCAGCCAAAGAGTATGTGTCCAAGGGATGCTTTCTTTTCAGACCCTTAATATAGTAAATATTCATTTGAGCCAATATGGTGATTTAAGTGGTTTGAGCTTTGAGTGCTGGACTTAAGGCAGATCTATACCGACCTATTATATCAAGAGGTAGTCCAGGAGCAATCCAAATTCCAAAAAGTACATGCGAGACAAGGTTGCAAGATCCAGTCATGAATATATTAGTTGCAACCAATGATCAGGTAACACACTCAAAAACCCTTAAATGCTGCTTTCACAGCTGATCCCAATTGCAGGCCTTTGTATCCATAAGCCATGCTGATCTCCCTGGCCGAGTCTTTTATTTCCTCAGTTCCATAAAGGAAGGCAAAGTTAACTCTTCCTCAGCCTTATCTACTGATCTTTGATCTTATCTACTGGTCTTTGGCCAGCAGGTTAAGTAGTTGTTATTTCTGAGTGTGACTTAGGGAGTTGCTGTCCCTGGCTGAGCTCAGTTTAACAGCTAAACCCTCACTCAGCAAACTCTCATCCATACTTATCCAAGACACAGACAACCACTCCTCTGGCTGCTGCAGAGGCAGAAGAGAGTTCTGGCCACTCAGCAGCTACCAGTATTTGACAACACTGGACAGCCACCCTTATTGTTCCCTTCCATCCTTTGTGCAGTGGTGGACTCTGACTATGACATGGCTCCTACCTGTCTTCTGCAATGATGTCGACTGGGATGATGGGCTGATGAAGGAAGGGGGAGAGGAAGAATTTCCCCCTCATATTCCCCCTCCCTTCCTCAATCATCCAGTCAGCCCAGCTGACATCACTGCAGGTGATAGCTGACAGGTAGGACCCATGTCATTGCTGGAGACCACTGTGGCACAGAGAACAGAAGGGGATGGTAAATGCCATCCTGTGTTCCTAAGCCATAAAAGCCTGAGAAATACGGGATGGCAGTAGGAACAGTTGTGACTGGTTCCATTCTGGAGCCAGTCCAATTGTTTAAATAGGCCCAAAGTCAGGGGTCACAAACCATTAAAGCAGACCAATTGCATGAATGATGAAGGGTGTGATATAGCTGGTGCAAGTCCCAGTGATAGTGAACTGCCTTGGAATATCAGTTTCATGTAATAATCTCCTGAGATTTAAAACATGTTATCTTAAATTTTGTATCATTCTTATAACAACTAAGTTGTAAACAAGACATATTTTTAGTTTAATGATACTTGCCTCCAAATAACTAGTTTAGAAGTCTAAGGCAGTGATGATTGTTAAGTCAATCCATCCATCAAATAATATTTGACTTTGCTAACATCAGTCATCAGACTAATGATTTAAGACATTTCAAATATAAAATGACAGACAGATAAGCATTTTAAATTACTACTCTTAAATATGGCCTTATTTCAATGCATATCGAGTCTTCATAGCCTTAATATTCAGGTTTTGTTTACAGAAGATAATGCAAGTCTTGGATCTACTCTAGGTGGGGTAGGAGGAATAGTTATGTTAGTCTGTTATAGGAAAACCAAAAAAATATATGATGGTATCTTAAAGACTACCAACTTTAATTTGGCTCAAACTTTTATAGACCCCAATGCAGATGGCATCTGATGAAGTGAGCTGGAGCCTATTAAATGTATGCTGAATAAAACTTTTTCTCCAATTAATCCTCCAATTAATCCTCTGCTGCCTCATCTTTTCAGCTGCTTTCAAAATGTTCCAGTTTATCTCTCCTCCTCACAGCTTCCTGCTATGCCCTCAGCTTCTTTCAGCTGCTGCACACTGAGTGTTTTTGGCAAGATTTATCCAGCGGTGTTTGTCATTGCTTTCCGGGGCTGAGAGTGTGTCATTTACCCAAGGTCACCTACCGGGTGTGGGGTCAATCCCTGGCTTCACAGAGTCCTAGTCCAACACTCACACCGCAACACCACATTGTTTATAAACCTTATCTGAAATCTGCAGGCAGCAAGTTTATTTCTGCAACCTGACCTTGAAGACAACATATTACAATATCAATTTTACTTGCAGTGAGTTAATTTGGGGGGAATGGGATCCTAGTTCCTGGAATGGTTGAAGCTGCTTCAAGATAAGGCAATTGAACATGTACTATGAAGTCCATGGACGTGAGGATTGGTAGGACATCCTCAGTGTACGGACATTAACATTCTCTCTCTATTCTGCTATAAATTCAGCAAAGAATTTCACTGTTAAATACCAACACATCCAAGGACAAAGTCATTTGAATACTTCTAAAACAAACGCAAAACAACAGAAACCCAAAGAATGCTGGCATGAAGTTGCATGAAATTTGAGGTTTGAAAATGGTATTTTAATGCACACTTTTCTTGATATGCAACCAATTTTGTCCCTTTATAAGGCGGATGTTGAAGTCAAATGCAGATCCAAAAGCTAACAAGTTAACAAGCCTGTATCTTCAGCATGTGGGATGTTTCCCAGATGTGGAATCTGAAAATACTTTTTTTAAAGTATGAAATTCTTCTTAAAAGTTTGTCATTGTTCTCCCAAAATGATTGCTTTAAAAAAAACACTGTTGCTACTGACAACAATGCTATATATATAAAACACATGAGTGGGATCAACAACAAAGGGTTACAGTGTGTGGACATAGTGCTCCTATTCAAATCTTCAGCCAGGAGGATATTCCATTCCACCCCCTTTCCCCCAGATCCCACCCCACATACAAATCAGACACTCTACAGTCAATGGTCACTTACTGTAATATATTCAGTCCTCATTCCAATGGTTTGGAGTTCCCCTTTTCAAGAATTTCTTTTTTAGTATTTCTGCAAATATTGGGATTACCCCAATTCAACTGTCAGCTTCCTCATACGTGGACAGCATAATGTCAGGCTCTACATTTGTTATTAGTGTGCAAATGAACTTAAATAATAAAACTTGAGTAACATGTAGAGAGAGAAAAAACCTGAAAATTGTAAGTTATAATCAAGTAGACAAACTCATGCAACATTAAGCACCTCATCACATTGAAATCAAAAGAGCAGGCAATAGTGGAGGGATTCACCGGTTAGTGGGGTGAATCCAGCAGGCAGAGGGGGGAACCATCACCTGCACCCCGCATCACCCACTTACCCATCCTATGTCTATGAGAACATGGGCAGCCTCCTAGGATACCGCAAGGACACTGGAAGCACTGAACCCCACCAGAAGTAGCCCTGCATCATCTGATGGGCTCCAGCAAGCTCTGCCTTCCTTGTGTCCTGGAAGCAGCCCAAGATGCTGAAAAATCTTAGTATGATGAGGTCCTAAATTTAACCATCAGCACAGAAACTCTTCAAAAAGACTTTTCTGAGGTTCTATGAAACAAAGCAATTTTGATTCCCCCCCTCCATTTTGTGTTTTAATGTCATCAGAAAAGCACAGGACACTTCTTTCTTTCGCTCCCCCCTTTTTCATTAGGGGTGTCAAACTATTTTCACCGAGTACCCATCAGGCCAATGGTTGCTTTCAAAGAATTATTTGTAATTGTAAGACTGTAAAAATGTAACTATGTTGCCCTGGCATCAAAAATCTCATGGGATGCATAAAACGATGGTGGGCTGGATTTAGTCCATGTACCTTGTACTCGACACATGCACTCTATAATCACCCCTCAACATTTGCTGGATTTAAGGGTAGATGACCCCCATAAAAGTGAAAAACTGCAAATAAAGAAATTGCCATTTTTGTTTCCTGACATAGTATCTCATAGTACCTGAAAGGGTTCTACCCCCTGCCCCCCAAAACCTGGTTTACTCATGAATTTTAACTGGTTAACCAATCTATGAGTAAACCACATTTCTTTTTTTGACCTTACACATTTCAGGACATGGTTCAACTTTTAAACCTCCCCCCCCCCCCCCCCCCCGCTTTCAGCAACGGCCCTGAATGTATGGCAGTGTGGGTTCAGAAATGTATGGCAATGTGGGTTCCGGTAACCCAGTTCAAAGCAGATTTTTGTGAGATTTTTTGTCTTGATATTCTGGGTTTTATGACTGTGTGGCCCTGATTCCTGTCTCCCCCTTTCCCATATCTACTATGAAGAGGAATCTGATAAGGTCTTTCCAAATTCTATGCCCCCCTTCTTCTCCAAATTTTTGAAATGTTTGTTTTTAAA